ATCCCACCTACCTTCCCAGCCCTACCCCTCCTCTCTCTATTTATTTCAGAGCTCCCTTCCCCTTCCCCACATTTCTGAAGAAGTGTCCAGACCCGAAACGTCAGCTTTCCTGCTCCTCTGATGCTGCCTGGCCTGCTGTGTTCCTCCAGCTCCACACTGTGTTATCGCAGACAAAAAAGAGATTTGATAGCGGGGCTCAACAATCTTGAGAGGACTGGACAAAGTAGATTGGAAAACTGTTCCACTCTGTAAAGGATTAGAGGGTACAAGAGGTGATTTGCGCAGGAAGCAAAGGCAATATGAGTAAAAAAAAAGTTCTCTACACAGCAGTTAGTTAGGACCTGCTTGAGAATTTGGTGGGAGGCAGATTCAATTCAGGCATCCAAAAAATGGAATTGGATGATTATCTCAAGAACAAAAAACTGTAGGACTATGAAGAAAGGCAGGGGAGTGGGATACAATAAATTGCACTTGCAAAGAGCTACAACATATATGACAGCCCAAATGGCCTCCATCTGTGCCATAACTGTTCTACAATTTTATGAAAACAGGTTAATCTGTAGGACTGTGGTTAGCATGAAAGTGGTGCTCCAAACTCTTGCGTCCTGTTAGAATAGACACCGCTATAAGACCTACCAACCTACATTTTTCGCATCGAAGCCTCTCCTTCCTTAACTGGGGCACTTTTTCAGTGAGTTGAGAATCTCACCTGCCCTTCAGAATGCTACCCTGACTCTTTCCTTATTTTTAGCCCAGGCTCAATGCAGTAAGAGCAGGAGTAGCCACTCAAGCGTGTTCCACCATTCAGTTAGATCAGGAATGATTTGTACGTTACATTCCTTTATCTCCTTTGGCACCACGTCCCCTAATTACTCAAAAAGACCCACTGATCTTCGCCTTTGATATCTTCAAATAGCCCTCAGCCTCAGCAGCTGTTTGAAGGAAGAGAGATCCAGATTTTCACTTGCCCTTACTATCAGCTCCGTCCATGGCCTCCCTACCTCCCTGTCACTATAATCTAGTCCAGCCCCAGAATCCTCTGAGATCCCTACACTCCTCTAATTCCAGCCTCTTCAGCATTTCCAGTTTTAATTGTTCCACCATTTGGTGGCTGTATCTTCAGTTGCCTCGACATTAAGACCTGGAGCTGCCTTTCTACCCCATTTCCCTCCTTTAAGACATTACTGAAAACCCTCTTTCACCAAGATTTTTGGCTATCTGACTTAACTTGTATTGTTCACTTACACTTTCATATGATGTGGGCATCACTGGCAAGGATAGCATTTGTTGTCCATCCCTGAATACCCTTGAGCTGAGTGGCTTTTTCGTCTTTTTCAAAGGGCAGTTGAGAGTCAACCGCATTGCTGTGGATCTGGAGCCCCATGTAGGTCAGACCAACTAAGGACTGCAGATTTCCTTCCCTAAATTATATTTTTTATTCACTTGTAGGACGTGGGCGTTGCTAGCTAGCCAGCATTTGTTGCCTGTCCCTAGCTGTCCTTGAATTGAGTGGCTTGCTAGGCAATTAAGAGTCAACCACATCGCTGTGGGCCTGGAGTCACATGTAGGCCAGACTGGGTGAGGATGGCAAATTTCCTCCCTGAAGGACATTAGTGAACCAGATGGGTTTTTCTGACAATCGACAATCGTAATCAGTGGATTCTTAACCCCAGATTTTCTTAATGAACCAGATGGGTTTATACAATAATCGATGATGATTTTATAGTCAACATCACCAGAACTTCAGATTAGTTTAATTTAAATTAAATTTAAACTCCACCAGCTGTCATATTGGGATTCTAAATATCCCTACTCCCTTTGCTTTGCCAATTCAGTGACTTTACCATGTGATAACATTTTGCTATGTGGCTCATTTTGTTTAAAAATATT